AATTCTCTCTCTCACTCTCTCTTTAAAAAAAAAAAAAAAGAAAACAGGCAAGAAGGTCATTGATGCTGTAGTGGTTAATAGTGAACCACACTTGAGGTCAGACCAATGGAGCACTGATGGTTTAACAGTTAAAATGGTCTGTTCAAAGTAAGACCTGAGGGGACTAAAGGTTGAATAGTTAAAAAGAACTCCAAGTGTGATCAGTGTGGCATTCTTTTTTTAAACACACACACACACACACACACACACATATATATATATATATATATTTTTTTAAGTTGGACACAATACCTTTATTTATTTATTTATTTTATGTGGTGCTGAGGATCGAACCCAGGGCTTCTAACATGCTAGGCAAGTGCTCTGCTGCTGAGCCACAAGCCCAGCCCACCCTGTGCGGCATTCTTGAGTGAAAAATTAATAGAGATCTGGGTTTGATTTGCAACCAGAAGGGCCTTTAAACTAGATTATCAAATTAAGGCCTGATTTCAAGGCCATGTCAGAAGAGCATGGATGATTTAATGGTAAACAGACATTTGTTTTTTAAGGTAGACTAGTATACTAATGGTGGGTTTGGTAACAGAAGAGGTCAAAACAGAGAGGTGGGGATAGTTCAAAATAAGAACAAAGGACTTGATGTTAGAAGTTAAAAGAAGTTGCAATTCAGGGTCAGACCAGAGGGCCAAAAATGGTGGAATAGTTTAGAGAAGCCTAGATTTGAAGTTGGGGCAGAGGGTACCAGGGGTGGAATAGCCAACCGAAGCCCTGGGTTTTTGATGAATGAAGGGCCTGTCATGCTGGTTTAGTTAAGAGCTGTCCATGTGAAAATTCAGATCAAGGGTGGGGGGGGTTTGATAGAGACAAAGCTAATAGACTCTGGGTTCAAAATTAGACCAGAGATGCCTTCATGGTTTTAGAGTTCAGAAAGATCCAGCTAAAGCAGAGGCCCAATTGGTGCTAGGATATTAATCAGAAGCCCAGGCTGAAGGTCAGAAAAAAGAATTGTCTGCCAGAATTTCAGTTTTAGAGGAGGCCAGAGGGGTTCTAATGGTGGAATAGTTTGCAGAAGTTCAGGTTCAAGGTCAGAACAGGGGGAAATGACCATGGCATAGTTAATAAGCACACAAGTCTGAGGCCTGCCCATAGGGAATTGATACTGCAAGTGTAACCAGTGCCCAAGGTTCAATATCAGATCAAGGCAGAGGTTATAGAGGAATATTAAATAAAGGCCAGAGTTTGAGGCAAGATCAGAGGGTATAAATAGTGGACTAGTTTACTGAGGTCAAGGCCCGAAGAGCACAGAGTGCAGAAAAGTTTTTTTTTTTCTTTCTTTTTCTTTTTTTTTTTTCTTTTTTGCATTGCTGGGGAATGAATTCAGGACTTGGCACCTGCTAGGCAAGCCCTCGACCACTGAGCTACATTCCAAGCCTAACGGTGGAAAAGTTAACAGAGGCTCAAATTCAGGTATCAGACCTGAGGAGCACTTACCATGAATTCACTGAGGACTGGATTCAAGGGTCTGGCAAAAAGCCCCCCATACTGGCGATGGAAGCCAGGGGTTCTCTATCACTGGGCTACACCCTATCCTTTTTTGAGACATGATCTTGCTAAGTTGCCCAGGCTGACCTTGAACTTGAGGTCCTCCTGCCTCAGTCTCTTGAGTAGCTGGGATTGCGAAGCATGCATCATCATGCCTGGATGGCAAAGAGTTATTGATGGTGGAATCATAAATAGAGTCCCAAACTGGAGTTTAGAGTTTAGAGTTTTAAACTCTGACAGAAGAGTTTTTTAAAAACTCAGGTTTAAAATAAAATTAGGGTGGCTCAGAGGTAGAGCGCTTGCCTAGCATGCATGGGGCACTGGGTTCAATCCTCAGAACCACATAAAAATAAAGATATTGTGTCCACCTACAACTAAAAAATAAATGTTTAAAGTGAAATTAGGGGTTTTGATGCTGGAAGCATTGCCAGGCATGGAGGCATAGGACTGTAATCTCAGCAGCTCAGGAGGCTGAGGCAGGATGATCACAAGTTCAAGGCCATTCTCAGCAACTTAGTGAGACCCTCACAAAACAAAAATTTAAAAAGGCAAGGAAGTCACTTAGTGGTACAGGATCCCTGGATTCAATCCCCAATGCCAAAAAATAAATAAATAAATAAAATAAAAGTTGGTGGGAGCATTAATAGAGGCCCAGGTTTAAGCAGAGGCCAGATGGACACTCATGGTGGTAGTCTTTAAAATACCTGGGTTTGAGGTCATAATAGATAGGTATCAGTTGAGGAAACATTAAGAAATGCCCAAAGGCCTGGCATGGTGATGCATGCCTATAACACCAGCAACTTTGGAGGCTGAGGCAGGAGGATCTAAAGTTCAAGCCAGCCTCAACAACTTAGTGAAACTCTAAGAAACTTAGTGAGATCCTGTCTCAAAATAAAATATAAAGGGTATGTGATTCAGTGGTTAATTGCCCCTGGGTTCAATCCCTGGTACAAACAAACAATCACCAAAATTGATTAAAAGGGGTTGGGGTTTTGGTTCGTTGGTTAGGCCCTTTTGGTTTCATTTCTTGTTCCGGAAGGAAAAAAAAGGAAGAAAAGAAATGGAAGAATGAAGGGAAGGAAGAGGGGGGCAGAGAGAGAAAGGAGGGAGGGAGGGAAGGAAGGAAGGAAGAAAGAAAGAGAAAGGAAATGCCCAGATTTTACGTCAAAAGAGTGATGTTAAAATAGTTAAGAGGCCTGGGCTTAATTGTGGATGACACCAGTTATTAATGGTCCAAGTGTTAATATAGAGGTGTTGATAGAATTGACACCATAAGAGGACTGATAGTGAAATAACTAATAGAGCCTCAGATTCAAAGTCAGGATTGAGGATCCTCAGAGCAAAAGGACATTGCTCACAAAATAACTAAAAGAAGCCTAAGTTTGAGGTCAGTTCAGAGGACAGTTGCTAGTGGACTATCATATAGAAGCCCTGTTTTGAGACTTGACCAGTGGTAATTGACTAGCTGGATAATAATTAATAAAAGCCCACCTTCAGGCTCATACCAGAGAGGATTTTGATGGTTAAGTAGTTAAACACACCAGTTCAAAGTCAGACAAGGGGCATGGACAAGTTAATGGAGGCATGGCTGTAAGGGAATAGGAGAGTAGCATTGATGGTGGAATGGTTAACAGAGCTCCAGATCTAATGTCAAATCAGAGGTACAGTGATTATGGACAAGTTAACAGAGGCCCAAGTTTGACCAATAATATTATTTTTTTATTCTTTATTATTTGTCCAGTATTTATTTCCCCTTAGATTTTCAGTCAAGAAAAGTATCAACAAGATGAATTTAAAGTAAAATGTCAAGTCTGCCACCTCAAAAATTTCACAAGGAGGAAACCCCCAAAATCATGCACAACAATCATGACCAATCATCCTGAATCCAGATTCAATAAAACATGAAGAGTGTAAAGAAAAGAAGTTAAGAAAACTGATTCTCCATAATTATCTTGCCATCCAGAGACCTTGGCTAAAACTGAGTATCTATTTAGTGTTGCATACAGTGCAGGAAAGAGTGAACATGGCAGATCTGAACCGCTATCCTTGGAAAGGCCTGCTTCAAGGCTGGTTCTGACTGCTATCTGGAACTTACATTTCAGTATTCCCACCACTCTCTAAAAGGTAAGGATGACTCGCTATGCCTCAACTATTTGCACAAGGAATGCGGTTCATGCTGAACACCTGCTTTCCTTCTGGGAGTCAAATTTGGATAAGGGGCAGTGTGATAGGCAGGGGGGTCTCTGTGACCAGCCACCCCCAAAACCCTGGCCCCTGTGTTTCTGATGAGCTTCCATGGTTGGCGACATTTCACATGTTGTCACAACCCCATTACTAGGAGAACTGAGCACATCCTATGAGTCAACTGGGAGAACTGAGCACATCCTATGAGTCAACTGGGAGAGGACCCTTGGGAACTTGTGCCTAATCTCCCCAAAACTTGGCCCTGTGCACCATATCTCTTTGCTAATGTTGCTCTGTATTTTTTTCTGTAATAAAAAGTATTCGTGAATACAACCATACGCTGGGTCTTATGAGTCCTCCTAGCATATTAACTGAGCTTGCCACTGGTATTAGGGACAATGATACACACATGTACATGAATGTCTCAGCTCCCTGATATCCCTACCTTATCACTGTTTACCTAAGGTCTGTCAGATGAAAGTTATCAGAAATCTTTTTGTCAAATATCAGTAGATTGAACAGATTATTTTCCTCTCCCAACCAGACTGGGGTTAGTTCTGGTGTTAGTTCTGGAGCTCAGCAATGGTGGGCCACCAGATTGGAGTCTCTGACTCTGTTGACTGTCCCTGAGGTCCCAAGATACTAACCACGGTTCAAATTGTCATATATGTGGCAGCATACAGAGCCAAAGGGAAGGAAATACCTGGAGCAAGAGCCTCTTTGACACTTCCTGGTCACTCTGATCATTAACAAGGGTTTTAGGTTATTTGTCCCCCTGTCAAAATCCAAGTGATCTCTCCTTACTCAGAGTTCCTTATGGAACATCACTTTTTGGTCTCTGAGCTGTTCTGGGGCAAACCCTGGGCCCTGGGTGGGCATGGGTGGAGAAAGGAGTGGTCTGGGAGATTTCCCATTGCCTCCATCCCACAGCAGGAGCCCCAAGCTGTCTCAGGGTCCATAGTTATCTCTGCACCAGCTGGGTGATCCAAGAAGTCAACATCTCTACTCCCTGCTTGTGAGAAACCGTCCAGTGCAAAAGTATGGGGCCCACTCAGGCAGGGGCTACCATGTTGGAAGGTTTGCAGAGTCTCAGCGCCCTGGAGGACCCGACCGGGTCCTGTAGCTTAATATGATAAACCCTCTAGGATAGAACCCAGCATTTTCTACTCAACTCCTCCACTGTCACCAGATAATGTTCCTCCTTTGCTTAAAACAGGCAACTTCTCCTTCACTCAGGAAAAAGGCCAAAGGTCTTCATCATGGCCCATGAACCCCTACAAGCACCTGGCCTGTTTGACCTCATTTACTCTCACACTCTAGCCTATACAGTGATCCTTCAGGCACATTCTACCCTCCAGTGCCTTTGTGCTGGATTTTTTCTTTGAGAATATTCTCTATCACACTATGGCTCCCCCTCATTTCATTCAGGACTTTGTCTAAATGATACCATCAAGAATGTCTTCCCTAATGACATCACCAAAAAGACTGCAACCCCAACTCCTAGATTATCTCCCTTCCTTGCTTTATTTTTCTTCACATCTTTAGCTGACTTATTACACATAGATGCTTCCTGATTTACAACAGAGTTACATCCTGATACATATATCGTTTAAGTTGAAAATACCGTACGTTGAAAATACACTTAATACACCTAACCTACCACATATCCTACCTTAGCCTAGCCTACCTTAAATGTGCTCAGACCACTTATATTAGCCTACAGTTGGGCAAATTCATCAAACACGAAGCCCACGTTATAATAAAGTACTGACTACTCATGTTACTTACTGAACACTGTACTGAAAGTGAAAAAAACAGACTGATTGTATGGGTATGCCTTTGTACCATCATAGAGTTTAGAAGTAGTAAAGTGGAAAGATCATTAGTTGAACCATCATAAGTTGGGGACTGGCCATGCTTGTTTATTGTGTGCTTGCCTCCATTAGGATACAGGGCCATGAGGACAGGGATTTCTGTCAGTTTAGGTCACAGCTGTATCCTCAGGGCCTAGAACAGTTCCTGGCACACAGCTGGTGCTCAATACTGTTGAACGCATGACTGTAAAAGGCTGATACAGCAGACATTCAGTAAGTGCTTGTTGAATGAAAGAACACAACACTGCATGAATAATTGTACCCCCTTCCACCATGGGTCCCAGAGCTGCCCACTCCCTCATGCCGCCCCCTGGCAGACCTGGGAGCTGGCCCTCAGCACAACCACAGAAACTTTATTTACAATGCAAGACCAGGGTAGGAGGTGGGGGTTGGTGGACAGCACAGGGCTTGCAGGACCCTACTTTTGCTCCCGTCTCCAGACGATGACCATGCCGCTGGCGTCACTGGAGGCCAGCAGGCTCTCGTCGCAGTTGAAGCTGACGTCAAGTACAGGCGCACTGTGGCCCTGCAGCTTGTTGACAGCAGCCTTGGCTGCTCGCTCCACATCAAAGAAGTGCACGCACATGTCCTCACTGCCTGTCACTGTCCAGGTGAGAGGGAGAAGCCATCAGGATGACTGGGGTGCTGCGGGTATGAAGGCCCTGAGGTATCTGAGTTGTGAAGACCCAGCATGGCTTGTGGAGGTTTGAAAAGGGGGACCATTCCTAGATGGAAGGTCATCTGACGATTTGGGTTCTATGTGTATAAGGTAAGATTTCTGGGCTGTTTGGGAGCCTGTGTCTCAGGCTGGAAAGCTTCTGGGTTATTTGGTGGTCTGTGTTCAAAGTTTTAGGAGCTGTGAGTTTCTGTATGAGGCTGACAGGACATAAGAGGACATGAAGCCCAGGAAGTCATGGCATTAGGGTGTTGTAATGTCTGAACCAGGACAGTAGCAGACCTGATATCTATTCCTCCCTAGCCACCCAGGCCCCTTGCCCCTCTGGGACTCACCCACACAGGCCCCCTGGCGGAAGGACATGAGGGGACAGAAGATGCTGCGCACAGGGTGTGAGCTCTGCTCAATGGGAAAGCTTCTCTTCAGCTGCAGGGTCCCCTCGTTGTCCACCACCCTGAGGAGAGGATGACAAAGCAGATCGGGACACAGTCTTTGATCCAGGAGGGGGCCAGCAGCAGGCCAGTCTTGTGTCCCCACCTCCACACCTGAGTTCTTTTTAAGGTTCATGAAATCGATTTTTCTTTTTTAGAAGAAGTCTTACCATGTTGCCCAGGCTGGCCCTGAATTCCTAGGCTCAAGCTCTTGCCTCAGTCTCCTAAATACCTGGCATGACAGGCATGTGCCACTATGCCTGGCATGAAATCCAGTGTTAAGAGGATAGCATTCACCTGTAAGTACAGCTGCTGTGTGTTTTCATGAGGGTTCAGAAACCATATCAGTAGACACAAACGGGAGCCTCTAGGGTTTTGTCAACTAGTTTTTCATTAAGCATCTCTAAAAGTTCTGGTGTCAAGACAGGCACAGAGAAAGGAAGTGGCTGTACAAATCTCAGTCTGTCCACCATGTGGAAAACTAAAGTTACTAAAGAGAATGAGGTACAGCCACTATGGGTAACCTGGGGGTAAGATTCCACAAGACATCTTCTGGGGATAAACTTGAGATGTAAATAAGATGTGGGGGTTGGGGGGGAGATTTTCTGTAAAACAATGATCTTCCTTCAACATGTGGGACTTGAGGGCAGAGAACACATGTGGAAAGATGCCTATTGTCACCATCCTTGCTGTGGCAATGGGAGGACTGAAGTGGCAGGAGGAGGGAAGGCAGAGGATGGGGGAAGTGCGCAAAACCTTAAGAGTATACTGGAAGGGCTAGGGTTGTGGCTCAGCAGTGGCATACTTGCCTGGTATGTGTGAAGCACTGGGTTCAAATCTCAGCACCACATATAAATAAAGTAAAGGTCTATCAGTAACTAAAAATTTTTTTTAAAAAAAAAATATACTAGAAGTAAAAGAAAAAAGTAAATATGTATATCTATATAGAAGATTTCTTAAAGAAGATAAATAGTACAATTAAAAAGCATTCTGTTCTTGGATATGGTGGCAGACATCTATAATCTACTCAGAAGGCTGGGACAGGAAGATTGCCAAATTCAAGGTCAGCCTGGGCAACTTAGCAGACCCTCTCTCAAAATTAAACAGGGCTGGGGTTGTGCTTGGTGGTAGAGTGCATGAGGTCCTTGGTTCAATCTCTAAAACTGACATCCTGTTGGGCAGTGGTTTTCAGGCCAGGCCAGACATTGCTTGGAGACTTTTTCGCTATACCAAACCTAGGCCCACCCAGCACTTCTGAAATTGTTGGACTAGAGTAGGACCTGGGCATGACTTTGTTTGCACACATGTGTGGTCCTGGGGAGTGAAGCCATGGGTGCTCTAACACTGAGCCATAACCACCTAGCCCTTTTTATTTTGAGACAGGGTCTCCTTAAGTTGCTCTAGCTAATCTCCAACGTCCAAACCTCCTGCCTCAGCCTCCCAAGTTGCTGGGATTACAGGTATGTGCCACTGTGCCTGGCTGGCCTAAGTGGTTTAGGTCATTCCAGTGCATAGCCCAGAATGAGAGCCCCATCTGGGTAACATGACAGTGGTGAGTGGGGGAAGGGAATTCTCCCCCATAGAAATGCCAAACAATGATATAGGGCTGCGGGTATAGCTCAGTGGCAGTGCATGGACTTAGCATGTGTGAAGCCCTGGATTCTACCCCCAGCACTACAAAATAAGTAAATACAATAAATAAAAGGAAGGAAGGCAAACAGGCCTTAGCTCTAAGGGACTCTGTTTATTTTTCTTTATTTTATTATTATTTTTGTGTGTGTGTGGTGCTAGAGATGGTACCCAGGGCCTCATGCTAGGCAAGCATCTACCACTGAGCTATACCCCCAGCCCATGACCCTGATCTGTTATGCCTCAGTGTGCTCAACTGTAAAATGGAGATAATAGCAGTATCTATTTCACAGATTAGTGTAAGGATTAAATGTGATTCACAGAAAAGAGTTTGCACAGGCCTGGTCATAGCAGTTGCCATATAGAAGCTGTTACTGACATTATTGTTATTATCAACATAATTCTGTTAATTTTTAAAAATATTTTAAAAAATTGTTTTAGTTTATTTATTTTTATGTAGTGCTGAAGATTGGACCCAGTACTTCACACATGCTAGGCAAATGCTCTACAACTGAGCCACAACTACAGCCAGTGTTATTTTTTTTTGGGGGGGGTTGGAAATCAAACATGCTAGACAAGTGCTCTACCACTGAGCTATATATAACACAAGGCCTGTCATCATATTATGAAGCCAGATCTCCACCCTCAGTGAAATTAATCTGTTGAGGGAGATAGGCTCCTCTCCCAGTCTGATGGAGGAGGAAGGCCTTCTTGCTCTGCCCCCCTGAGGTGAACCTGATGGGGGTAGGGACACACCTGTAAAGTAGCAGCTTGTTGAGGCAAGCATTGATGAGCAGCGAGGGGTCCCGGGCCTCACGGCTGACCCAAGAACGGGCAGAGATGCTGGTCACAGGGCTGCCCTCATGCACCACCAGCCGCTTGGCTTTGGTCAGCTTTCCTACAGCAGTGGAGGCAGGGGAGGCAAAGGTGAAGGTGAAGGCTGAGCCCTGTATGGATAAGAGGCAGAGCACCCAGATGCAGGTCTATGGCCTGCCTACCTGTGGCCATGTCAAAGAGGAAGGAGAAGACACTGCCACGGTCATCACCCGCCCAGAGCAGCCTGCCAGGGGCATCAAAGGACAGAGCAAGAACACGTCCTGTCAGCTTGCTGGAGCCACCTTTCACTTTCTTGCCAGTGGAGATGTTCATGACATGCACATTGTGCTTGGCATTCCCCACCTGTGGGTAGAATGAACACAGCATCCTGTGCCCCAACTGTCTCTTCTTGAGTTTGACCAGAGGGGAGGTACAGTGGGTAGAGTAGAAGGTGACTCAGTCATGTCCCTTTGCTCTCTTGCTAGTCTCTCTGGCAATTTGCCCATAGTAGAACAGCTGCTCATGGTACTAAAGGGGTCACGGCAATAAGGCTGACCCTTGGCCAGTCTGAAAACCACAGGGCTTTCCCAGGCCTACAGTAACATAACAGCTTTCCCCTGTGCCCTGACTGCTCCTTCCTGGAGACTGAGAGGCTGCTCCCGCTGAAACAAGAAACATCCTCAAACCACAGCTCACTCTTGGACAGTTCCCTGTACTTGACACCTCCACCCCCAGGTCACGTCAGACTTTTCATGTACTTCCCCCTACCCTCTGACCAATCTGTTCTGGAGTCTGACCACAGTGGGGCCACCACTGAGAGACTAGATGAAATTTCAGCCTCAACACCCTGTTCTCCAGAGCCCCATGCCAGTGGAAAACTAGGACTTTGAGCAGTGGGACCAAAGGGGTCCCAGAATCATGACTACACCTCCAGCCCCACCCCCTAGAGTCTACCTCAGCAAGGCCATCTCAGACCAAGAACTGTGCTTCCCATTCTCTGGCAGGTTTCCCTTTGAGTCTGACCACAGTAAGGATGCTGTGACAGGACTAGGGAGGGATCCTAGACTTTATATTCTGATGCCTATGGATAGCCCTCAGACCCAGCATGCCTGCCCTTTGTAAGCAGGTGCCCTGGAGCCTGACCACAGTGAGGTTGTTGTTGACGGGCTGAAAGGTGCAGCAGAGCAGTTCGGCGCCATCAGGGTCAGGGATCTCCCGAATGCAGCGGCCGTCCTCGGAAGCCCAGATGCGCATGGTGGCATCCAGCGAGGTGGACACGAGGATGTCATTGGAGAGGGACCAGGCGAAGTCGGAGACACCACGGGTGTGGCCCCTCAGCACGCGGAGCACAGTAGGTGGGGCAGGCACCAGCTGGCACAGGGAGATGCTGCCGTCGAGTGAGCAGCAAGCCAGGCGGTGTCGGTCGTCATTGGCGAAGCGCACCCTTGGGACTGCAATGCCAAGGAGCCATTTATGGGAGTCAGCACACTTGCTGGGCACTTTTGTTTATAAAAGGCTCCGACATGTGTACAGAGGACTGGGACCCCATGCACAACGAATGGTGACCTCAGCAAAGGGCTTTCCTTGGCTGACAAAGACAGTTGTAACCTCTGCCAAAATGCTCCCTAAATTTCAGTAGGTACTTTGCAGATTTCAAGTCTTCTGCAATGTGAAAAAGCTCCTACTGTCTTAGCGAGCACTTTACAATCATCCAGGTGTCAGCAGTTTGCAAAACCTGACACTGCATAGCCTACTCTGCTCTCTGCAAGGGAATTCACCATCAGCAAAGGCTTTGAATTCTTCCCAGTGACTCATGAACCCAGGCAGCCTCCTGCAAAGTGCTCTCTTGAGTTTCTGAGACCTTTTACAGTATATAAAGTACCAAGACTTTGCAGACCACTTTGGAGAGGGCTTTTGAGTTTGTAAAAGGCTTTATGGATGGTAATTCCTCCTTGAGAGGCATGTCAGAGGCCTTACATTCTGAAAAAGGATACCTTGGATGGATGATTGGACAAATATTGGTGATGGGACCCCATATACTGACTCACCTGCCTCATCCACATGCTGGTCAAAAACATGGTACATGCCTGCAAAGGCATAGTTCTCGCTCAGCGATGTGTCCCCAGCCATGGCCCGACTTGCCTCTGCTGCTGATGTGGGCACCACGCTGCCAGGAGGCCTTAGCCCCAAAAGGAAATGGGGAGGAGGGTGACAGGAGGTAGGTGTGGGTGTTCAGCCTACCATGCCCTAGGGCCCCTCTCTTCCTCAAGAATGCCCATCCCAGCCAGGCGCAGTGGCACACACCTGTAATCCCAGCAACTTGGGAGGCTGAGGCAGGAGGATCTCAAGTTCAAAGCCAGCCTCAGCAATTTAGCAAGGCCCTAAGAAACTTAATGAGACCATGTCTCAAAATAAAAATATAAAAAGGCCTGGGGATGTGGCTCAGTGGTTAGGCACCCGTGAGTTCAATCTCTGATACAAAAAAAAAAAAAAAACCCAAAAAACGAAAAACAATGTCCATCACTCAGCTGCCCCCAGTGCATACCTGTCCTCATAGACAGCACGGTTCATCTGTGCCTGCAGCTGATAGGAGCCACGGCTGACAGAACGGCGGTGCCCTCGGGCCCCCAGGGCTCGGGGATCGTCCTCAAAGTCCTGCAGACAGAGAAGATTAAGGTGTATATCTTAAAAACAGCCCTAGAGAACCTCTGAGGTCTGGAGCCTTCAAAATATATCTAGAACCTGACCCCTTCTCATCACACACATCCCCCCCCACTACAATCATAGCTCATTTGCATGGCTTCTTCACTTGTTCCTGTTTCTACCCCACTCTGCTCAGCACATACACAATATGTGTTCTTTGCACAAAGAATAAGTACTCTTCCCCAAGAAAACCAGTTAGCTCACTCTCTCATTTCATTCAGGTCTCAGTTGTCACCTTCTTGAAGTAAAGCAGGCTTCCGTGATCACCCCCATCAAACATTCAAGTCCCCTTTTTTCCCAGTACTGGGTATTGAACCCAGAGCCTCATGCATGTGCTCTACCATTGAGCTACACCCCACCCACACAGTAGTCCTTTGTTAATCCCTAAAGAATGTTTTATTTTTCTATCTTAGCACTTCTTACTCTCACCATGGTAATTATGGACTTATTTATCTGACTTGCTATGTTTACTGACATGTTTATCTTGTTTATAACCTGATTATCAAGTTTATTGTGTATTTATTGGCTAAACTGGTATATTATCTCTTTTTATCTTCTGCTGACCCTAAGATTCTGGAAGAGTGCCTTGAACATATCAGTGCTTGACAAGTGTCTGTGGTGAATGTAGTGGAGGCAAGGGAAATGCATGATAGGTAGTTATGACCAGGGCTCACCTCCATGCGGTCAAGGGTTGTGCGGCTGCTGCGGACGATGCTGTTGCTATAGGCACGTGCACTGCCTGGCTCAGAGAGGGGCCCGTAACGCTGGCCCAACAGCTGGCCCCGCAGCCTCAGGTACTGCCGACGCAGTGCTGGGGGGTGCCCAGCCTTGGCATTCTCCCGCAGCAGCTGGCTGCGCCGACGGATATATTGGGTCCGAAACTGTGGAAACGTTGGTGTGCGGTACGCGTTGTACCTGCGGGGTCAGGATGCAGGCAGGCAGCAGGCACAGGACAAAGGGAATCAATCAGCTTGGGACATAGGGCCGCGAATGAGGTATGTGGCAGTGATTGAGGTCAGGGTGGCAAGAGTGATCAATGGTGTTGATGGGGGGTTTCCTCCTGGTCTGTGATAGGGGTGATTCTGCAGGAATGACTGGCATGGTGATGAGGTCAGTGTGAGGACAACACATTCTGCAGCTCTGTTGGGGTGGTATGGGGGGAATGAGTCACACAAACAGGAACAGGGATTAGTCTAGCATTGGTGATAGAAGTCAGACTGGCATGACAATGATTAGTGTGAGGCACCGGTAGCGGTTAGTGTGGTGTGGAGATGGGATCACATTCAGTGAGCATGGAAAAGTCTATGGGGTGGAGGGGGCAATGGTAGTGCTAAGAAGTCACCAACCTGAGGTCCACTGCCCCCACCCCACACCCGTAGCCTCTTTGCGCATGCCCATATTTGACCACATTTTCCCTGCATGCTGTTTAGAACACTCTCAGGCCGGGTCATCTCACTTCTGGAGCTCCCCCACGTCTGCTACTGCGCATGCTCACCTCCGGCATGCCCACGCAGCCGCATAAGGCAAGTTCTCCGCCCAGCCTCACTTATCGCCATTGCGCATGCACCATAGTAAGTTCCGCTCCCATGGGCTCCGACCCCACGCCTCACCTCGCGTCCACTGCTAAGACTTGCTGCCACACCGCGGCCATTCCCCGGCCTCCTCCTCTGGCTTGTCCGCCCGCGGGAGCCTGCAGGATAAGGGCTTGGAATGTCAGCGTCCCAGGCGAAGGGATCTAGTTCCGCCCGTTCTGCCAGGTGGCTGTTGCCATAGACACGGATTCCCTCCACGCCAGGGACGTCGCGAAACCCCACAGGGCTGTTACCATGGTCATCACCCCAACCCTGCCCTTCCTGGGCAGCGCCGGGTGACTCACAGCAGCAATTCAGACCTGACCCCGCCCCTCCCCAGTCGCCATAGCAACGCCCCTCCCCCGCCTAGCAGTTCTTGTTTGACATTCCCCACCCATCTTGACCCCGCCGCCCTCCGCCTTCCCTTCTCGGGTCCAAGAGCATAGCCCAGGATCGAGGACCACCTCCGGGGCTGCCTCCGGCTCTTGAGGCCCCCGGGGCGGCCCTGAGACCACTGTCACCCGTTCCTTCTGTCTCTCTTCTCCCTTTCTCAGGCTCTAGGCAAGATGGCCGCCTGCTAACAGAAAGAGCTGCTGAGCACTGAGCGAATCGATAGGAACAGGGCGTGGGAGTCTCGCAGGCGCACTGAGGGACAGTAGTTTCCGGTATGAGGACGGAGGCTCCACCCTTTGAGTTCTAACCACTCCTTTTTGGCACCTTAATATACATAGGGATGATGTCCACGGGTCCCCGGGATGGCAGGGTGATAAGTACGTGAATCAATCACTAGAAATCAGTGCAACTTTTTAAAGATGATGGTTTAGGCTGCTTTTTAGCAGCACAATCCTAGCAAATCTTAGATAGTAGAATAAAATACACACAGAAATCTTTAGTAGGTTCCTTTAATTTTTGTTTTAATTTTGTACCGGGGATTGACCCCAGGGGTGCTTAACCACCCCGAGCCACATCGCCAGCCCTTTTATACCTCATTTAGACACAAGGTCTCGCTAAATTGCTTAGGGCCTCACTAAGTTGCTGAGGCTGACTTTGAACTCTCAATCTTCCTGCCTTAGCCTCCAGAGCAGCAGCAATTACAGCCATGCACCACCACAGCCAGCAGTTCTTAAGAGTCTCAGGAGGCTGAGGCAGGAGGATCACAAGTTCAAAGTCAGCTAACATAACCCAGTGAGACCCTTTCTCAAAAAATAAAGAGCTGAGGCTGTATCTTAGTGGTAAAGTGTCTCTGGTTTAAATCCCCAGTACAAAGGGAAAAAAGAAAATTGAGTTCTGAACAAGCTGGTGAAAGAATCCATTTTGTTGGGAGCTTAGAGAGGAAGGGGCAGATTGAGCTGCAAGAATGGAAGGTCAGTGGATGAAGGAAAAGGGGGTCTCAGGGCTGGGGATATGAAGTCACCAAAAGTAACTCATGCAGATTGTGAATAACCTTGGTTACAGTCATGACTGAGAAAAGGTGGTCAAACCCATGGAAGACCACAAGTCCCATTAACTCTTAACAGGATCCAGGGCAATTTTACTTCTAGAATATGGTTGAGGGTCCCAGCCAAACATAAAAATAGATTTGGATAGAAAAGACAGGTAAGCCAGAGCTCGTTGAAGATAATGCTTATGACAGTAGTGATTCCAATGATGGAAGAAGCCATGTTTTATCCAGACTCATCCTTCATTTGTGTGCCTATTTAGTAAATTCTTTTTTTTTTTTTTTGGCGTGTGTGTGTGTGTAGGGGTGTTTGGGGATTTGAACCCAGGGACTCATGCAAGCCAGGCAAGCACTTTTACCAGTGAGCCACATCCCCAGCCCTTCTATTTGGACTCCAAACTTTAAGAATACAAAGAAAAAACCAGGCACACTGGCACATGCCTGTAATCTCAGTGTCTCAAGAGGCTGACGCAGGAGGATCACAAGTTCAAAGCCAACCTCAGCAACTTAGTGAGGTCCCAGGCAATGTTGTGAGACCCTGTCTATAAATAAAATACAAAATAGAATCTGGGGATGCAGCTCACGATTGCCCCCAAGTTCAATCCCAGGTTAAAAAAAAAAAAGAAAGAAAGCAAAGCAAAGCACTGGACCACACTGGTTGTCTGCTATTCTTGACACAGGTTGAAATGAAATCTGAAGTTGAACCCCAACTTCAGAGGACAAATTGGAACATAATTTGAGAGGAAGCCTAGGTGGCTTGGAGTGACAAGGGGTATACTGAGAATCAAATGAAATGGAGAAGCCATGAAGCTGAGGTACAACTATAATGCAGACACCGAATCTTCATTTGTTTATCTCATCCCTGAAGTTTCTTCCTAAATGGGGCAAGAGGGGATTGGGGTGTGAGGTCATAACCTGAATTTCACCATTTCCTGATAGGAGAATGTCTGCCTCTCAAGCCAAAGTTCTCACAACCACTAATGTCTTCGTGGTGGACAATGTTCCATGGCCTCAACCAGAAACAAAATTCCTCCATTTGGGAAAAGCCTTAAGAGACCACTTGAGCATCCCCCAGAAAACAGAAATAGCAAGCCAGCATTCCAGAAAGTATTTCTTCAGTTCAGCTCTTTCTGAGTGCCAGGCACTGGGGCAAAAGCAGTAACACTTATAAAATGGTTCCTGCTCTCACAGAGCTGCTATTCTATTCTAGCTATCAAGATAAAACAATATTTGAGAAACCAGTACTTACTATAAATACAACAGTTTTGTTAGTGTTACTGAGTTGGAGGGAGGGATGAGAAGTAAATTTGAGCTAGAACTAGAATGAAAGGAAATCATAGGAGCTGGGGATATAGTTCAGTGGTAGAGTGCTTGCTGAGCATGTACAAGGCCCTGGGTTCCATCCCCAGCAAAAAAAAAAAAAAAGAAAAGAAAGGAGCCAGAATCACAGAGATCTACCAATGGTGAAATAAATAAGGTGGATAATGAGTCCCATCAGCAACTGATCAGAATAGAGAAATCACTTTACAGGAATAGGACTCACTTTAATTTGCCCACTGAGGGATTCACCCCCAGCCTGGGAGCCTGGAAAAACTTGGACCTTGGTTTTCAATCATAGTCACTGGGAATAGTAGCCTAAATGGGTACAGCCTTGGAGTCTACATTTTTTTCTACTAATACATTGAATTACATCTCCTGCTTTAATTATATATATATATATATATATATATATATATATATATATATAAACTTGTTCTAATTAGTTATACATGACAGCAGAATGTGTTTCAATTCACTGTACACAAATGGAACACAACTTTTAATTTCTCTGTTGTACATTGACAAAGTCCCACATTCTTGCAAACATACATGTACCTAGGGAAATGATGTCCCTCTCGTTTTATCATCTTTCCCACCCCCATGCCTTCTCCTCTCCCCACCCTCCCCTTTGCTCAATCCAAAGTTCCTTCATTCTTCCCTTGCCACCCCCTCCCATGGATCAGCATCCACATATCAGAAAAACATTTGGACTTTGGTTTTTGGGGATTGGTTTATTTTGCTTAGCATGATATTCTCCAACTCCATCCATTTATCATGCCATGATTTTATTCTCTTTTAATGCTGAGTAATATTCCACTGTGTATATATACCAGTTTTTAAAAAATATTTTTAGTTGCACTTGGACACAATACTTTTATTTATTTTTATGTGGTGCTGAGGATCAAACCCAGAGCCTTGCACGAGCTAGGGAAGCACTCTATCGCTGAGCCACAACCCCAGCCCATACCACAGTTTCTTTATCCATTCTTCAACTGAAGGGCATCTAGGTTGGTTCCACAGTTCAGCCATTGTGAATTGAGCTGCTATAAACATTAATGTGGCTGTGTCACTGTGCCCCCAACAATGGAGCATCTATGTACAAACAATTTCAAGAATCAAAAAGTACACAACACACTAATACTGGGTGACTTTAACACACCTCTCTCAACACTGGATAGATCTTCCAAACAAAAATTAAACAAACAAAAAAAAAAACTATAGAACTCAGTAATATAATCAATAATTTAGACTTATCAGACATTGAATATAAAAAAAGAGATACTATCCTGCATTCTATCAGACCATAATAGAATGAAATTAGAAATCAATGATAAAATAAAAATAGAAGGTACTCTAACACCTGGATACTAAATAATATACTATCAGAGGGGGAAGGATAGCAGAAGACATCAGCAAGGAGATAAAAATATTTTCTTAGAGGTAAATGAGAAGACACATACAATATATCAAAATCTCTAGGACACTAAAAAGGCAGGGCTAAGAGGAAAGTTCATGCATTGAGCTCATTCATTAAAATAAAAAAATTTAAAAATCAGCAAATAAATGACCTAACATTACATCTCAAAGCCCTAGAAGAAAAAAATAAAATCGACACCAAAAAGACAGGAAATAATTAAAATCAGGGCTGAAATCAATTAAATTGAAATAAATGAAAAAAAATGACCAAAAGCTTGTTCTTTGAAAAAATCAAATTGATAAACCCTTAGTCACCCTAACAAAAGGTGATGAAAAAGGAAATATCACGACAGACACTATTGAAATACAGAAGACAATTATAAACTATTTTGAAAATTTAAGCTCTAATGAAATAAAAAAATCTTGAGGACAATGACAAATTTCTAGGGACATATGATATGCCCAAACTGAATTAGGAGGACATACATCTCATGCTTTATAACAGTTGGAAATGTTTTAGTTGTGGTTGGACAAGACCTTTATCTTTTTAAATATGGTGTTGAGGATCCAACCCAGTGCCTCACACATGCTAGATAAGCATTCTACCACTGAGCTACAACAACCCCAGCCCATTAAGCGTTTTTTTTTTTTTTCTAAGTGTTAAGCCATCCTGGATTTTCCATGATTGTGGTGACAGACTGCATTCACTGAACACTTACTACACTGTCATCTGAGGGCTTTACTGCCCATTGCCACTGACAGAAAATATTACACTAGTATTTGGACTCAGGCAGAAGTTGAACTTAAGTTCCTTATCCTGGACACCAGAAACCATCACTCCACCCCCACCCCACTCCTGGGTCCTAGCCAACAGTGTTGATAATAGTGCTCTCTCTCCTCTGTACATCATCAGATTTAAGACCCACATCAGGGCTGGGGTTGTGGCACAGTGGCAGAGTGTTTGCCTGGAGCATATGAGGCACTGGGTTCAATCCTCAGCACCACATAAAAAATAAAAAAGAGGGCTGGGGATGTGGCTCAAGCGGTAGCGCGCTCGCCTGGCATGCGTGCGGCCCGGGTTCGATCCTCAGCACCACATACCAACAAAGATGTTGTGTCTGCCGATAACTAAAAAATAAATATTAAAAAAATTCTCTCTCCCCCCCTTTAA